AGGAGAATTCTTAAAAAACTAAAAATGAACCTACCATATGACCTGGGTATACCACTCCTTGGCAACAGGACTCATCCTATTGCAGAGACACTTGTACACCCATGTTTGTTGCTGCTCTTTCCACAATAGCTAAGAGATGGAAGCAACATAAGTGTCCCTCAACTGAGGAGTGGTTAACAAAAAGGTGGTACATTTATACAATGGAGTTCTAGACAGCAGTAAAGAAAGATGAAATAATGAGATTTGCAGGTAAATGGATGGATCTAGAAACTGTTATACTGAGTGAAGTAACACAGACTCAGAAAACCAAAAGACCCAAGTTCTCTCTCATTTGTTGATCCTAGCACCAAATCCTTCTAAGTGAGTACATATCCTGATGTAACTGCAGGAACCAGGAAGATGGAAGGAAAACAGTGAGGTAAGGGGAAAGAAGGAACTAAGAGAAAAAAATACTAGGAGATAGGCGTCACTAAGGGAGAAATTTGTAAAGAGGGGGTAGTAAAGGGGAGGGGGAAAAGGAGGGCTATACAAAGAACCATGAGAATAAAGGAGAAGGAGCTCAGGTGGGACCATGGCATACAGAAATTATCAAGGGAGAAATGAGGAAAATGGGAACACTTTAAATGGGAAGGGAGGATAAAACAGGGAGAAAAAATAGTGCTTAGCTAGTATAAAAAACCAGAGGGAGGCCGGGTGTGGTGGTGCAAGCCTTTAATCCCAGCACTCGGGAGGCTGAGGCAGGCGGATCTCTGTGAGTTCAAGGCCAGCCTGGTCTACACAGCGAGTTCCAGGACAGCTGGGGCTACAGGGAAACCCTGTCCCAAAAAAGACCAAAAAAAAAAAAAAAAAAAAAAAGACCCAGAGGGAATCGTATTGGTCAAAAAATTAGTGAAAAAGCACACATACAATATCCCTACATGAGTCCGTGAGTATAGCTGAAGACTACATAACAAGAAACAGTGCCAGACAGGAGAAACCTTCCTTTGAGTTGTTGGCCAGGGTAGTCCAAGAGACTCCCAAAATTACACAGGCTACTGCCACAGTCCTTGGTTGCCTCCCAGAACTTGATGATAAGCCCCGATTGCTGAAGACAGTACATACTTTGAACACAGGATTTGGAACAATGGAGCTGGAACTGACCTGGAACCCCCTCCCCTGAAGGCTGCTCTCACAGGTTTGGAGAGCACTATGCAAGCTGCTGAGGGAGAACATCAATCGATGTCTAACCCCAGCTTCAAGGCCTAAAAACCACACCAATGACCAGCACAGGAAACGACATTGGTGCAGTAGTGGCACTTTTATCTTGGGGGTAATCAACAGCTACCTAATTAGACTTAGAGCCCACTCAATGGGAGGAAACTCATGTTTGGTACTATAAACACAGCCAAACAGTGGAGAGGTTATAGATCTTAGAGAAAATCCCAAAGCTCTCATATCTTACTATGTGCAAAATATAGATCCTTAAATTTACAGACAAGTATCCCAGCACCACCCATCAAAGAAGCTTCTTTTTCAAGAGACAGAGATAACTGGAGAGGTCATAGATCTTAGAGAAAACCCCAAGACTGTCACATCCCTAGACTAATGTAATTTCTTACTTGGTGAAAAATATGTATCTTTATATTTCAGATAAATATCCCAGTCACCACTCATCAAAGGAGCTTCTTTTGCACAAGACGGAAACTATTACAGAGTTCCACAGCTGGTCACATACTGACATTGTCTGTGAATTGCCCAAGCTAAATCGTACATCTACCTGCAGCCTAAGGCTCACAGGACATAGAACAAAGGGTAAAGAGGACATAATAAATATATCAATTCTCATTAATGAAGGTCCCTCATGCAACAGAGGGTCAGGAACACAAAAGGTCACAAATGGACAAAATGTAGAGATGAAGAGTCTGTAGAATGCTGGGTCCTTGGACAGGACTCCTGTAGTAAACTTCACCCACCCAGGGCTCAGGGACTGTTAAGGAAGAGGGGGCAGAAAGAGCAAGGGAGGCGGTGCATGATCACATGGAAATAGAGTCCTACAAGCTCCTGGGACCTTACTCATTTGAGCCTGTAGCAATAGTGTCAGCATGCACAAGACCCATGCAAACTTAGGCAGACAAAAACCCAGCACAGAACTGTGGAAATGAACAGCAGGCCCTAATCTCAGTCGAAGAATTATTGGCAGCTGATTACTGCTGGGTGAGGAAAAGCTGGTTTTAAAGGGAGGAACTCTAGATAGGCTGACTAGATCCCAGTGGATGAACATGCACTGAGGGACATATGGAGACATTACCTTTACATAATAGGCCTTAATACAAATGACAGAATGTATGAACTCCAGTGAGGGCGGGGGGGGGGGTCCTATGGAAGATTGCCAAAGGGGAAGGGATAAGAGGCTATAAAGATGATTTTATGTATGAAATACACAAAAATTCAATTAAAAAAAATAAATAGGTCAAACACTTGGGCATGATTAAAGGCATACACCTTTAATCACAGCAATCGTGAAGCAGAGACAGGCAGATCTCTGAGAGATCAAGGCCAGTTTGGTCTCCATAGTGAGTTCCAGGCTAGCTGGGACTACAGGGAGACTTTGTCTCAAAAACGGGGAGGGAGGGGGATGTCAAATATCTAAATAAACATTTCTCTAAGAAGTCGCATATGAAAAGATGCTCAATATCATCAGCTATCAGAGAAAAGCAAATCGAAATGAAACCACAAGGATTTATCACTCCATTACATTAGGATGAATGTAACTAAATAAAAGCAGAGCCAGCAAGATGGACTCAGCAGGTAAAGGTGCTTGCCTGACAAGAATTCAATCCCAGCCGGGTGTGGTGGTGCAAGCCTTTAAATCCCAGCACTGGGAGGTAGAGGCAGGCGGTTCTTTGTGAGTTCGAGGCCAGCCTGGTCTACAAAGTGAGTTCCAGGACAGCTGGGGCTACAGGGAGACCCTGTCTCAAAAAGACAGGCACTTGCCCCCAAGCCTGACAACCCAAGTTTGAGCTACCCAAATGGTGGAAGGAGGGAACTGACTCCCACAAGTTGTCCTCTGATCACAGTATATGTGCACAGTGGCACATGCATGCATACAGACACACACACACGCACACACACACACACACACACACACACACACACACAAAATGAAAAACTAAAATAAATAAATAAATACAAAAATGAAAACAACAAATATTGGCAAGAACGTGGGAAAATCAGAACCCTTGGGAGGAATACAAAATGAAGTCACTTTGGATACAGTCTGGTAACCCTTCAAATAGTAAAACAGTTATCACATCACCCAAGAGTTCTGCTTCTAGATACATATCAAAGAAAAATCAAAATAAGTCTACACAAAACCTTATGCAAAAAATGTTGGTAGCAGCATTATTATAATAACCAAAAGGTAGAAACAATCCAAACACTGGGCAACAAATGAATCAATAAATGTGGCATATCGCAGAACTGATATTTAGTCATTAAAAGAAATGAGGCTTTGACACTGCAACATGGATGAACCTTAGCAACATTATACTAATGCCAGTCACAAAAGACCACATGTTGCATGACTGCATTTATTAATAATGTGGCTAGGGAAAATATATTGGGACAGAAAAATGGATTAGTTCTTCCTTAGGGAAGGGGATGACAAAAGAGATGGCTAAAAGGTGTATGCTTAGTTTGGATTTGTTTATTTTTTGGTTGTTGTTTTAAGGTGATAAAAAAATGTCCTAACCCCAACTGTGGTAATGGATGGATATATCTGTGAATATACTAGAAACCATTGAATTGTACACCCTACATGGAAGATATGAATAAGTAGTATGTTATGTGAATTCTATCTCAAAAAGGCATTTTTTAAAGCAAATACCACTGCAGGGGCTGGTGAGATGGCTCAGCAGTTAAGAACACTGGTTGTTCTTTACAGAAGACCCGGGTTCGAATGCCAGAACCCACATGGCAGCTAACTGTCCGTAACTCCAGTTCCAGGGGATCCAACAGTGTCTTCTGTCCTCTGCAGGCATTGCATGACACGGGTACATTTACCTACATGCAGGCAATACACGCATGCACATAATGTAAAAATACTGAAGGAAATATTAAAAAAAAAAAAAAAAGAAAGAATACCATTGCAGTGGGGAAAGGATGATGTTATCCAATAAATGATCTTGGATCAACTGGCTATCCACTCATAAAATTTTCCTTCAAGTCAGGCGTGGTGACGCACGCCTTTAATCCCAGCAGAGGCAGAGGCAGGCGGATCTCTGTGAGGTTGAGGCCAGGCCGGGCACCATAGGAAATCCAGGCCAGCTGGGGCTACAGGGAGACCCTGCCTCAAAAAGACCGAAAAAAAAAAAAAATTTCCTTTGGCCTATACCTCCACACAGCACAAAAATCAACTCCAATAGTTTGCAAATCTAATGTGAAAAGCACAAACAGAATTTTCAGAAGAAAACATTCTTGACCTTGAGGATACATTTGCTAAGTAAGATAAAGAACAAAAGGGGTGTGTTAATTGGGTTTTCAGAGCTGTGACAAATACACAGAAGTTGAAGCTACCTAAGGGAGGGAGTTTTATTCTGGATTTTGGTTACAGAGGTTTCAGTCCACAGTGGGAGGGGCATGTGAGAGCAGCCGGGAAGCAGGGAAGGAGCATGACTGCACAGGTGGACTCTCTCCTTTTCCTTTTTAACTCCATTTGAGCCCCTAGTCTATTGGATTCTGTGCAGGGCATGAGTTCCTGATAAAGTTTCCTGGTGTTGCTCTGGGGACAGGTGGCACACTCCCCTCTCTGCCACATCTTAAGCAGGCTGCCTAGCTTCATACAATGTTTATGCTTTGCAAAGGAGACTCCCAAGTCATGCGACCAGCTGCTCTGGGTCCTAATTGAAGACCAAGTTTTCTCTGCATCTTGGATCTTGGTCCTCTCCACCCTGCCTCAGTTTACCTGCAGTCCCTTTCCAGCTCCTTGGATTCATCAGTGCTGCAAAAAAACTTTCCTTTGAAGAGCTGCACTGCAATGACGGCAAATATGAACATGAAGAGCATGTAAACAATCAGGATGTTCAAGACATTCTTCAAGGAATTCACCACACAGCCAAACACAGCCTGCAGGGAGGAGGGAGCAGAGACAAGAAAGAAGGGTGGAACCATAAGGGAGGGGCCATGTGGGAGAGGTCATGGATGGAGGGGTGGGTCAAGGAGAGAGGGTAGGAGATGGGTGGAGGCAGGAAAGGGTATGGAGGGGACCAAAAGAAAGAATAGAATGGGGCAGTTACCAGCTCAGAACCACAGAACCTCTAAAGCCTAGACTCCCAGAGGCATTCAAGGACCCCTCAAGGCCTTCAGACCTATGATCACAGAAGGCAGTGCTGTCAGTTATCACAACAGCTGTTTTTCTCTCAGGAAGTCATCTTGGTTTAGACTAGTGGGCTGGAGGTACCAGACCAGGCAGTTGGATGCCCAGGAGAACTGGACTTACTGAAACTAGGCCACAGGAAGGAGCCAGAAGGGACCAGGCCCGTAACGGGAAATTTGCAAACCTCTGCCCTGCTTCTGCCTTCTTCCTGCCCAGCAGCAGCAATGATATGGGGAGGACTAAAGCTGAAGGAGACAGGCTGTGTCCCCAAGAACCACAAGACAGGGAATATGAATATGTTCTAGGGTCTAGATATGACTTGAGTTCTCCAGTCTGCTCTCAGAGCTATCTTGCAGACCCATAGCCATCTCTGGAGATGCTGGCTGGCACACTCCAAATGCTGGCAGCTGCCTGGGCCAAGGAAGCTGCAGCCCACATACAATATTCTTTCCCTGCTGCCTTGGATACAAGTCCTGCCTGAGCTCAGAGAGTCTCTGATGCCATCTCAGTTCCCTTCCTCACATATACTTCATACCCAGGTTCTAAGAAACCCCTTTCCTACTATCCTCTTTGACTAGTATCTCCGAGGCTTGAATTTCAAAACTGTTGATATGAAAATCTACTGCATAAAGGACTGAAAAACTGAAAGAGTGAAATCACAGAAAGCATTTTGTTCCTGACACAGATTCAATAATTATTAGATTGGGTGTATACTGAACTTCCTTCATCCAGAAACCCAACCATGCTCATGCTCTTGGGTCCAGCCCAGCAGCCACTTTCTAGAGTCCTTGATGGCTGGCATCTATCCCTTCACACTATGTCCGCTGTTCTTCCCTGTCCTGCAACTGTCGGAAGAAAACACAGTGTCCCACTTAATGCTCTGGACTAAGGAACAGGGGTCTTCAAAAGATTGCAGGAAACAAGCCTCCTTGGAGGAGGATCTTTGAGTTGAGTAAGTTTGTCCCCTTATACAGGTGGGAAATTCTAATAGACACACACAAATACACATACATGGGCATGCATCCACCTACACATGATAACACCCACACTCCTTAAGCCCTGACTCCAGATTCCAACCTTGAGCTTAGGCAGCCGTTTGATGGTCTTGAGAGGTCGCAGGACACGCAGGACTCTCAGGGACTTGATGGTGTTGATGTCTTTCCCTTTGGATCCTCTAGAAGGGAGAAGTCACTGATGCTGACAGGCAGAATGGTAGAAAAGTCCAGCACCCACCTGACCTACTTGGTCTAGTTTACAAAGCCCTGTGCATTTTGTCTCTGGCTCTAGGTAATCAGTGGTGGAGCTCTTCCCATGGCTACCTGGCCTGGACCTCATCTGAGAACAGTGGGCCAAAGCCAGGACACAGCCAGAACAACACAGATGGTGCACAGGGACAGCTGATTGCTCAAGTAGAAGAGTCCACCCTCTTGACCATAGCAGCTACTTCCACCTCCTCAGGGTGCAGCCTGCCTACCATGCTACAACCTTCACTAGCACTAGAAGAGTGCTTCCCTGCTTGCTGCTAAGGGGACTTTGCTGCTCTCTGCCCCACAGGCTACTTGCCTGTCATCAGCTGCCCGATACCCTTCAAGTGACCTAGGAAGAGGAAAGTAAGAGACAGAGAAATACAGAGACAATGCCAGAGATGGGTATACAGAGGAGTAGAGAGGGAAAGAGGAGGAGACGGGGAGGAACTAGAAGAGGGAATGGAGGGAAAGGAGAGAAAAGGAAGGAGGCAGAAACGAGGAGGAGGAAAGAGGGAAAAGGAGGAGGAGGAGAGACTGGGAGCGGGTGAGACAGAGAAGGACCCAGAGAAGCAGAGACAGCAGAATCATCAAGAAAAGAGCAGACAGGAAAGCTGAGAAGGGGAAGGCAAGAAGTCAGGCAAAGAAAATTCTAGGTACCAACAAGCTCAAAAGTCTAGAATTAGAATCGCAAACCAAGGACCCTGATGGAAGTCAGCTGCTACTTCTGTCTATTGTTGGGGGTGTGGGTGGGAGCAAGAGATCAGTCAGAGACCAGGCCTGCATTGCTGAGGAGGCTTCTATCATACAGGGAACCCTAGTCCAGCCAGTTCAGATGTCAATTCCCACTAAGCTTGGCCTGCAGGTATGGCTGGGCCTGCCACCAGCGGCCTCCCTTGGGCTCCTGCAAAAGTCTGGGCTGAGCAGGGTGCAGCTGTATAGCCCAAGCCTCCACAGGAAAAGAGAGCTAAGGCCCCAAAGCATTCCTTCTCCCCAGCCCTACATTTCAGAATCAGATCAAACTGGCCCTAAAACTGGGCATGATCCAGAGTCTGAGACAGGAGGTTTCTGAATCATTTTGGGCTGGCTTGATTTCAAGAAACAGCAAAACCTGCCCTGCTATCACCTAACACTCCTGGTACCCAGCCTTACTTGTCTCCCTCTACCAGCACCAAAACAGACCAATCAGGAAGAGTAGCAAAAGAAGTGAGAGGCTTCCAGGAGAACTGTTCACTGGAGACCACCCTCTGGGCTCAAGCCTGTCCTCCCTTTGCTTGCTCTAAGCCACAGTCTGGGTCCTCCCCTAACCCTACTACCACCTGGAGGCTCTCTAACACCCTGCCTACAATTCTCTAAGGTCCTTGATGATACTCTGGCAGTTCTCACTTCCTTTGTCATAGACAAAGGGCCCATTAAGACAACTGGGAGGTGTATCAGGGAGAGGGACCATGCAGAGAAAAGAGGAAAGAAAGCTGCATGTCCAAAAAGAGAGTAGCACCCTGGGCTATGGTCACTACTGGCAGCTCACACCCAGACCCCTCACTGCCCTCCAGGCCAATACTCAAGTCTCCAATACTCACTTGGACACGTGGCTCACTGAGGGCCTCCCTACCAAGGGCTGACCATGCCCAGCCCAGTCCAGCCCAGCCCCCAACCAGTCCCCAGAGGCATGGCAGAAATGGTGGCCTGGGGATGGCTCCTGGCAGCATGCAGCCTAAATGTGGTGAAGGTGGATGAGCAAGAGTGAGACCATGATGGACAGGCCAGAGGCCACAGGCGTGCCGTGGTGTCAGGCAGTATGAGAGGAGGGGGAAGCATTACCCCATGAAGCTCCTACCAGAGTCCAGCAACAGGAAGACAAAGAGAACAGAGTCAGTGCTGTGGGAGGCAGAGCACAAGCCTACATTGGCCCACCCAGAGGTCAAAGAAATACAGGCCCTCCCTTCAGGGTTATTTTTGTCTCTGAATCTCACCATACAACTTCCCCTGTATTGCCTTATCCCTGTGGCCCCACCAGAGTGCCACCCTCTCCATGGAGGATCTATTCCCAGCCACCCAGTCAGGCGTCAGAAGGATTAGTCTTATAATCCCACAGAAGATTTTTACCAACTGGGGCAAAAACACCATCTGTCTCCCAATCAGGCACTTGCCTTAGAGCAAGTAGGCAGGCTCCAAAGGACCCTGGCAAGGTAGATGCCAAAAATCCAGAGGCCTGCCCACTCAATGCCAGACCACAGGTGGTATCAGGAACAGATAGCCTTGGGTTTTCAACCCCACAGTTCAGCTCCAAGAAAGCATAATAGTCCATCTGGGAAGTTGTGGAGCTACAGACCAACCAGGGAGACCGACAGAGGCCCTTTCCCTTTTCTCACCCTCACACCCCACTGTGTTTCTGGGCTATGGCCACTAGATCCAGAGCAGATGTGGTTTACTTACGAGAAGGCAAATGCCACCAGGGCTCCACTGACCACAATGAAGTCCAGAATGTTCCACAGGTCCCGAAAGTAAGCCCCAGGGTGCAATAGCAACCCCAAGTCTATCATCTGAAGAGGATACATTGACATTAGAGTCCATAAGGAAAAAGAGGCAGAGCCAGGCCCCAGCCACAAAAGGAATGTTCTGAGACTCCCTGTAGCACAAGGCTTAGTGCTCAGATCACACTGTAAACTGTGCACACTGTGACCTCAGTGCATCTCAGACATACCTCACATACCCTCTCAGAGAGAGGTCACAGCCCAGGTCATACTCTTCAATGGCCTCAGTGGGGCCTTGACCCCAATATCTCTGCATAGTACATAACTGGCTGAGTCCTGCCTGGGCTCCAACGTTTCCTGGAACGCCTCTGTGATCAGAGGTCTCTGTCTCCCCTATCCTTCCCTCCCAAGTAACAGAAATGCTCCCCCAGGGAACTCACAGAGCTCACATAGCTCAGCTCCAGCTCAGGACTGTTCAGAACTTCAAAGACATTTATGCATGTCCTGACTTTACCACTTCTGCAACTGTGATTTTTGGCAAATACCAAAATCTCTTGGTCTCAGCCACCTCATTGGTAAATTGAGGTCATTACTCCCCAGAGACTTCAAGTATGTGAGCAGCAGAGGTAATAAGTTTATGCACCCTTTATAAGTGCTCTGTGTACAAAGATATCTGAGCCAGACTACACACATGCAGGTACACATACACACCTTTGGCTACACTGATGTATGTATAGCCCACTGCACTGAATGCACACCTATGCAAAGATCATACTTGGGGAATAAGGAGCACCTTGTGAAGAAAGTGAAAGTTGCAATGATGGTAGACTCTCAGCTTATCAGATCTCTAGATCCCACTTAAATTTAGTCTTCAGCATTCAACAGTGCTCCAGCTATGCCTCTCCAAGGTCTCCTTTTACTCTGTGCAATGTCACCCAGTCCCTTCTTTGTGGCTACCTTCGTGACAACCTTCAAAAGGAGGTTGATATCTCTCTCTCTCTCTCTCTCTCTCTCTCTCTCTCTCTCTCTCTCTCCCCAAAGTCCCTGTGTGTCCCTGTGCTCAGGAGCCAAGTACGGCAGGACCACATACCTTGGCATCATTCCATGGGGCAGATGGCACTGGAGGCCCTCTGTGTCTGGGAAGGCTTTTAGCTATCAAAACATTTCATGCACACACAGACTGTGCACATATGTACATTCTCCAAGCATACAACTGGTATACCCATTATATGCTTCTACAAAGACTGCAGAAGCCACCACATCTTACCTTTATGACCATCTCAAAGGTGAAGACACCTGTAAAAATGTAATCCATGTACTTCAAAACCTAGAACCAAAAGTAGGACTGTTCTCAAAGGCTGAGCTGGAAGCCAGAGCCAGGGCCACATTATTGGCTTCCAGCTTCTCCCTAGGTCTCTGAGCAACAACCCATTAAGTGGGGTCAGTTGGCAGCATTGTCAGGGCCAACTGAGGGGAGCATCCCTCTGTGACAAGGCCTTCTAGTGGTTTCCCTGCTAACACTGAAACATCTACAACACAAGGACTCCAGGACATGGGCTTTTCCAGACCTTTGGGTCCCACACCCTCAAAGGAAGAAGGGATGTCTGATGGCAAGATAGAACCCTGGTACCACCCAAGCCTTATGGGCCCTGGGACTATGCCCCATGGCACCCCTGCAGCCTAGCAGTGGGCCCAACTGTTGTAACACTCACATTGTTCCTGGACGAATCAGTCCGCACGGGATCCTCGGCAGCTAGGGCAATGCTACTCAGGGCAATGACCACAAGAATCACCATCTCAAAGTACCGCATGGTTACAATGTAATGGCAGAAGCGACGGAGTCTGTGAGGACAAGGCTCAAGTCACCCAGGCCCAGAGCCAGGCATGCCAACCTCTCCCACAGGAAGGACTCATCGCTACCACACCAGAATTGACTTTTGCCTCTTGTTCCTGTGGCAAAAGTCAGTAGCCAGGTGATCCAAGGTCAGGGATCAATAAACGGAGTCCACAGGCCAAATCCTATGCCTGTGGATAACATTCTTGATGGCATAACTACCTCTACTCAGTTACTGTCTGCAGCCCCGGAGCAGATGCTATCAACTATGCAACCCTTCAGAGAACATGTGAAGCAGAAGGAATGGGGCAGAAGGGGTGGTCCATGAAGAAAGCATTTTATTTTTTAATACTTTCTTATTTTTATTTTATGTATATGAGTGTATTGCCTGTATGTGTGTAAGTGCACCTGTGTCATGCAATGCCCCAGCTTGTATTTGAGCTCCCAAGGATGCATGTGAACATACCACCATGCTCTCATTTTCCACATGAGTCACCTGTGGACCAGGGCCTTTGCTCAGTTTTCGACATTACTGAACATCTGCTGGATGCTGAGAGAACACAGCAACAAATAAGAAAGCCAAGTCCCTGGCTGCATGAAGCTCTACTCCAGTGAGCAATCACCAGTGAGCAGGGCATAGATAATCAAACTGGAGTTGCCAACAAGAGACTCCAAGTACTGAAGAGAGAAGCCATCTGGCCAGGAAAGGAAGGCTGAACCCCAGGTGGTAGACAAGAAGAAAGCCACAGACCCAGCCAGTGGAACAGATACTGTCAGTTCCTTAAACCCTCCAGCTTCTTCCCCTGACTCCACATTCAAAAGCCTTCAACTTCCAGTCACGTTCACTTCTGCTTCTCTCCTCTTCCCCTGATACCCTTTGCCTATCTCACAGAGCTCCTCTTCCCAGACCCCAGGCAGCCTGCTGGCACTGTGTCCCTCAGCACTCCCTCTCCTCTCCTAATTCAGCAGTCACTGGGTCCAGCTTACAGCTGCATTTCCACCACTCAGCTCTGCTGCCAGCTTACCTAACCGTAAGATGCCCCCAGGGACCCTGGTTCTACATGAACTAACTAGATCCCAAAGCTCAGCCATACTCCCACAAATACTGCTGGTCTCCATGGTTGCCCTGCCTTTCACTAGCAAACAGAAACTCATCCGTCCTTGACACCTCCCTTCCATCTAACTCATCATCAGATTCTGAAGATTCTGCCTCTGAAGTTTTTCCCCTAGCACTTCACTTCCAAATCTCCACTCTAACTACCACATCATAGCTCACCACCTTTTCCTTGGCCACCTCCTAATCAGTCCCCTTTCCACATACTTCCCACCAAAGGGTGACAGTGAACTACAGTTGGATGCGGCTCTACTGTGCTCAATCCACTACAAGACAATCAACAGGGGGATTCTCTGTACATCCTTCCAACTGGCGACCTTCTGCTTCTGGACCATCATAAATGTTCTTCTCTAAAACAGCACTTATTCTCCACTCCACCCTGATTCATTATCTTTCAGGTTCAAGTGAGACATCACTCCTTTTAGCAAAACTCCCTTGGCCTTCTCCTCTCTGCTCCAAAACCCCAGGACCGCTCTATTTTACATCTCCATGCTATGCCCTATTTAATAGTTAATTACCTGCTGCCTCCACAACACAGTCAGTCCAAGGAGGGCAGGGATATTCTCTGTTACTATTTACTCCTAACCCTTAGCTCAGAAGATTAAGCTCCCAGTAAATAGGTGCTGAATGAAAAAAAAAAAAAAGTGAAAGGTAGGAAAAGAGAGAATGGGTGAGAAGAGCTGTGTGGAGAGACTTGGATAGCTGAGGGCAGGAGGGGCGGCTGAGTAGTCACACTCAAGCTGCCACGCTCTGATCCTACTCACCACTCACTCCACTCTATCCACTTTGGCTTCTGTGGAGCTCTGCCTTTGCTGTACTTTTCCTTTCTACTCCAGAGCATTCTCCTTCCCCTTCCTCCATCTTTGATCCAATCTTACCTCTGAGGCCCCCACCTGACCTTCCCACTGATTTTAACACTCCCGGCAGCCTACATCCGCACCTGGACTTCGCTTCTTCCTAGCACTCATAACTGTATGATATCTTATGTCTGTTTTGCCATGCTTGTTATCTATTTTTCCCACTAGCCCACATGCTTGGTAAGGACGGGCCATGTTTATCTTAGTCATCACTGTATGTCCCCAGAACCTAGAATGCTGTTTGCACATGAATGATGGTTGAATTAATGAAAGCACCACCAAAATGATGAAGGGATGATCAATAATGATCAACATGGGATGGACACACAATGGCAATGGCATAAAGGTGAATGGAGTGAGGTATGTACATGATAGACATAAACAGGGTCTTATGTACACTGATGAACATATACAGCAAAGAAGTGGGGGACAGCACAGGCTCTGTAAGTAACTGTCTGGCATCTGATCCAAGCCCTACCACCAAGAATGACTGTGTGGCTATATAAGGCATAGAACTCTTTATGCCTCTGTGACTTCATCTATAAAATGAGATGACAAATAAGTGCCTTATAGAACTACGGAGGGAAAGATGTTCAAATTAAGTGAGTAGAATTGGTCTGTACAAGGTGTGTGACCCATGAGTGCCAGCTAGTTATGCTCACAACATGTCATGGCAAGGGCACAGTCAAGACAAACCCAGGCATGGGCATGAGGAAACTCACAGGTTGGTGGGACTGAGACAGAACATGGAGCTGTACGGGACAATGGGCCGGGGGCCTCTTCTCAGCACATCATCAGCTTCTGCCTCCTTCTTGCCCTCTGCTTGGCTTTCCAGGTCCACGTTACCACCTACAAGGACATAGGGCCTCAAAGTTAGGGGGATTACACACATAAAGCCATATCACATGACTCTCTCCCAGTTCCATGCTGTGGGCAAGTGAGGCATAGGTCCACCAAAGGATGGACATTTAGCTAAGAACAGTTTCACTGGGCAGAGCATGATCAAGGCAGAGGAGGCAGAAGACCTTGTTTGCCTCCTGCATTGTGATGTCACAGACACCATCCTGGCACCACACCCTTGATGTTGACACCAAAGCTTCCCAGAGCCTAGTGAGGGCTTCCCCTCTGCCTGAGAGATCTCTGAGCAGCAAGACAGAGCAAAGCAAGGGATACCTGGGCCCAAAGACCTGAAGGTACTCCATAAACTATGTCATCCAGGTCCAACTTGACTTGGCCTAGGGTTTCTCCCACACTCTTGAGAATGGAAACCTTCCCAGACACCCACTTGTAATCCCATCTCCCTAGGTTCTTGCCTGGCCCCTCCTCATTGATGTCTCTCTGATAGCCCCTCCTCTGCTCTCTCAGCCTCCACTACCAGCTTCATACCCAAAAACTCGGCTCCCCAGGTTATAATAACTATGAGCATTATTCTTTTTAGGTAAACTGTGTATATTTCTTATTCATCAAACTCGGCTCCCCAGGTTATAATGACTATGAGCATTATTCTTTTTAGGTAAACTGTGTCTATTTCTTATTCATTATCTTTAACTATGTTGAAGTATATTCAGTTCTTGTAGGTGACAGAGTTGTTAAGACTGCAGGGACACTAAGGGAGCCAGTGCAGTAATCTGAGCCAACCTCCCACTGCCATATCATTTTTACTCTTTTATGAAACATAAAAGCAAAGAAGATATTAAAGAGCAACAAAAATGGAAGTGCTCATACCCAAAGCCTGCTGTGGAGACCAAAGATCCCAGCGTCTCCCTGACTGCTGGCCACTCATATGCAGCACAGAAAAGTCACAGTACAGCAGCACAGCTTGGTCCCAGAGCTACAATCACCTCCCTGTAAGTACTTTAAAGCAACTTTCAAAATCAGTATCACAAAATTTCCCTACTGAAAATGTAGATTATATAATCTTCTGAGAAATATTTGGCAATGTTTATTTAAAACCCCCAAAATTCTGTTAGTTCATAAGACTTTATCTTCAGGGGGAAAAATCTGTACTAAAATAGTAGTCTTTAAGTTTTTTGTAGTGAAAAATTATAAAACATACAACCACAGGTAATGTACAAAAATAACCAATCCTTATGTAAAGCATCACATCATGGGTACCACAATGCTAAGAGTTTATAGGACAAAAGAGGCATGTGAAATGGTAAGTTAACAGAGAAGGAGCACTGGCACAAGCTTCCTGTCCCAGATGAGTCCAACCACAGCAGAGGTACTACACAGAAAGACACAGCCCAAGAAGCTGACCATGAGTGATTTTCTGATAATAACTTCCACCTTTTCACTTTTAACTTTAGAAAATGTTTCCATAATGAGCACATACTACTACTTTCAAAGAATGAAGTATTTTAGGGGCTGAAGAGAAGGCTCAGCAGCTAAGAGCACTGGCTGCTCTTGCAGAGGACCTGAATTCAGTTCCCAGCTAACAACTGTTTGTTAATTCCAGTTCCAGGGATCCAACGCCCTCTTCTGACCTCTGCAAGCATTGAATAACATGGGTGCACTTACCTACATGCATGCAATACATTCACACACATAAGTAATAAATTAGTTAAAAGAAAGAAATATTTTAAAGTGCTGCCTTTCTGAGCTCCTCCCCAATAAATGAAGCAAACCCAAGAGTAAGGAAACTGGGGAAAGAGCCCTGGACTTGATGAAGAACTAAACAACCCAAAAGAAATGGAGCAAAGACACCAGAGCCCGAATGAAACTACTCTTGAGACAGATTTGCACAATATAATCATGAAAAAAATTAAGTCAAAGAAAAAAAGATCAAGATAAAAATTACCACAGACTAAGTAAATTCTTTGTTGGAATTCTTTGTTAAGAGTCTTACTTAAAACAAGACTTCATAATAGCTAGAATCAATTCACCAAGTAGGACAGCACTTAAACAGAAGAGCTGGTTGCAGATGGGGTAGGGCAGGGAGAGAACTAGGACTCTAACAGGTGTGTGCCAGCCACCGCAGATGTGCTTCATTCTGCCTCCAGGTCAAACACCTGAGCTGACACAAGGAATGGCGATGTGGGAAAATGACCACCAGTGCTGGTGAGATCCTGAGCCCGACACTCACTATAAGGCAGGGCAGAAATGGCTTCCCACATCAAACCACATCCCAGAAGTGGCTGCTGTGAGCCTGGGCTCCCCTGGGACTCTGGGAAAAGCACATGTAAATCTCCTGACAAATACTTTCCACATTTGGACCACAGAATCCCCACAGACTAGAAGAATTTTTAAAGAATTTATGTCCACTCTGCAGTCTCTTATTCTCTACACATTGGCCAGTTGTGGCCTTCCGTATGGATCACACTCTGTTGCATAAGGAAGCTTCTCTGGTGAGAGTTGAGAGATGCATTAGTATTCTCTCCACCACCAGTTCTGCTATGTTCTGTGAGCCTTAGGTATAGAGGTTCCATTGTAGATGTGTCACTTAGGCCGGGAATCTCGCAGACACTTATTTTCTGTATTTGACCATTGTGGAACTCTGTAATAGTCTCCATCTGCTGCAAAAAGAAGCTTCTTTGATGAGTGGTGACTGGTATACTTGTCTGTAAATATAAGGATACTACATAAAACCTCTCTCACCCATGGCTCGGGGACCAGTGCAGAAGCGGGAGTGGAAAGGCTGTAAGAGCCAGGGATGGTGCACGAATATAAAGAAACAGAGTCTTCCAGGACTCTGGGAACTTGCTCATATGAACTTACAGCAATGGTGACAGCATACGCAAGACCCATGCAAACTCAATCAGACAAAAATCCAGCATACAACTGGGGAAATGGGCAGCTGGCCCCAACCTTAGCTGAGGAACTACTGGCAGCTGATTACTGCTGGATGAGAAAGAGCTGATCCTCTTTAAGGCTGACTAGACTCCACTAGATGAACTCACACTGAGGGACAGCTGGGTACACAAACTTGACTGCATAGCTTTAACACATAACAGAATAAATTAAATTTGGTCAGGGGAGCTATGGGGCGGTGTGTGGGGGTATGTAAATACGATTAAAATATATTATATGAAATGCACAAAAATTCGATAAAAATATATATTAAGAGAAAAAAAATTTCAAGCCCAGTCACCCCAAGGTACATTCTCCTACACTTTTGGTATGGTACTGGTGAGGTAAGGTATCACCCTTGTCAAGCTGAAAGGTAAACAAACTACCTTTTGCAGGATGTAATGATCTCACACTGCCCAGTCAAGAAAGGGAGGATGAACAATACTCACATTCAAACTCAAAAAAGAAAATGTCAACACACAACAAACATCACAATTGAAAGCAGAAATGGCAGGTAGGCGGTTAGCACACCAATGACTTCAGGTTTAGATATTTTAGGTGAAAAACATAAAATATTAGAAATAACAAATGAATTTTTTTTTTTTTTGGTCTTTTTGAGACAGGGTCTCCCTGTAGCCCCAGCTGTTCTGGAACTATGTAGACCAGGCTGGCCTTGAACTCACAGAGATCCGCCTGCCTCTGCTTCCTGAGTGCTGGGATTAAAGGTGTGCACCACCATGCCTGGCCAAGTGAATCTTTGTTTAAAAAGTAATCAGGTAGTAAATCTATGGAACTGCTGCAGCCCCACCAAAGCCTACAGTGAGCAGCCTGAAGTTAGCGCCTGGGACAGCTGAGGAAACACAAGCCCAGCTGTCTGGAGGCGCTAAGATCAGCAACACAGAGACCCTAAGGGAAGCTTTCCCTAGAAGGGGGAGAAGCAAGGACCCTGTATCTACCTATATGTTCTCTGAGACTATTTCCCATTTGACATTCTCAGCAACAGAACCCAAGCAAAAACTGTTTCAGACTGACAAAGGTAAAAAAGACTGGAGTTTAAGGACAATGGTATCTGAGTCTTGAGGGAAGATCCCAAAGAGAGTGAAGGAGTAAGCACCTCTGCCAGTACATAGATTCCCCTTGGGTAAGAAGAAGCCAGGCTCCCTGGGAAGCACATCCCATCCCAGCCCTGCATTTATCTCACAGCAGACTGCAAAGGGCTGACTGGTTTCCACTCTGGGTATAAATGTTGTGGAAAAGGAACTTTACTGAACTTTTTATAAAGATTGTTCTTGGTTCATTCATGTTCTGGTTTCAGTTACACAGAACCTCTTTTTCTACAGGCATTTTCAGAAACACATATACCATATGTTACAGAGGCAACACCTGTCCTTCAGGAAGAAACTACATAGGGGAAGTATAAGACGAAAGAACAAAATAAGGTAAGCCAATGAGATAGAAAATCTAAATAAACATTGTCTCTAGCCAAACAATGACACTTTCTATTTTGTGGGATTCTGGAAAAGGGTTAAAATGCTAACAATGACGAGGAACTTGGGTAAAACAGGACAAAGGCTACTGATTGAGGCCATGGTACTTCTAAGGGAGGTTAACATATAGAATAACCATAAAGTTAACCACAAAACCAAGCCTTAGCAACTATAAACAAATCTCAAGGGAAATAATCACATGGTCACACCTCTAATCACAGCACAATTAAATTAGAAATTAACATAGCAATCAGAAACAAAAAGATGAATTAAAATCAAAGTTTTATATTTGGCAATTGATAAATAGATTTTAAAGGCTCCACACATCAAAAATGAGACACTGTCCAGGCATGGTTGTACACATTTGTAATCCCAATACATAGAAGACTGAGGTAGGCTCAAACATTAGGCAAGTTCTTTACCTGTAGGTTGTACCCTAGCCCCACCATATAGAGAGAGCTGATGACCAGTTTGGTGAGATTTGTGTGTGTGTGTGTGTGTGTGTGTGTGTGTGTGTGTATTCCACAAATGGAACTGTATCTGTAGAAAAACTATGAAGAGTAACAAGAGCAT